ATGACATTACAATCCACTTTGTGGTACCCAAACTTTCGGATAATATTCCCCACTTTAGTCTTTCCGTGGACCCTATTTGGTCGGTCTTATCTTTTTTATTTTATTGTTTTGTGCAATATATATAATTAAAAAATGATGAGAGAAAAATCTGCACCTATTAAATATGATTTGAGAGTGTGCATCATATAAATTTTATTATTATGTAATAATCTACAAATTATATGTGAGAAATAAGCATTCAAAAAAAAAAAAATATGTGAGAAATAAATTATATTAAAAAGATCTTGTGTGACATGTTCGACCTAAAAGGGTGTTTGACACTTTTATAGTTCTATATAGTGTTAGAACATATTTAGGTACCACTGTAGGAAAATGTTTTGCCACAAAGATAACATGTACTAACATTGCAAGTGGGACGTGGGTAGGGTTATGGTGATATCATAATTTTATTTTGAATATTTAAAATTTTTGGTCTTATTTTTCAAAGTTGATATTTAAATTAAATAATAATTCATATATGCTTGGTTAAATATTCATAAAAATGACATTACGATTTTTTAAATGTAAATATAGATCTCATGTTCAGTGTCTTGCGATGATGGCAAATTATGCTGTGCATCCGTATGCACCATGCATACGGATGCAAAAACGACGTCGTTTTATTAAAAACGCATGTCTCCCCTTTAAAAAAAAAAAAATCAGGTTCGATTCCCAGCAACAACACATGAACTAAAATTTCAGAATCAATGAACTATAATTCCATAATCGATGAATTATAATTCCAGAATCTATGAACTAAAATTCCAGAATCTAATCTATGAACTAAAAAATTCAGAATGAATAAACTAAAATTCCAAAATCTATGAACTAAAATTTCAGAATCGATGAACTGCAATTCCATAATCGATGAACTATAATTCAAGAATCAATGAACTAAAATTCCATAATCTATGAACTAAAATTCCAGAATAAATGAACAACATAATGTTGTTGCTAGGAATCGAACCTGATTTTTTTTTTAAGGGGAGACGCGTGCTTTTAATAAAATGACGTCGTTTTTGCATCCGTATGCACCATGCATGGTGCATACTGATGCACAGCATAACTACTCTGCGATGATGAACACATGATATTTATTTGTATTTATTACAATATATAAAACCTCTTTTTCCACATGATCTCGATCTTATTCATGCACCTCATTAAATCTGCTAATGGATTCGTGATCAAGAGTTATTAATAATTTTACGATACCACAAAATTAACTAATTAACTAAATAATATCAAAATGATACGTGCACGTCCAAAAAAAATAAAATTATCACCATATATGCGAGGTTGTATTTTGACTTGATTAGGGAAAAAATAAAAAGTATTATTTATGGAGTATTTGTTTTGTTTTTTTTTTTAAATAGTCATTCTTCTAAAAGATTGAACCCCAACCTAAGGACCCCCACAGTCCGGCCCGACAGAGCATTTGGGAGGATGTAAACAATGGTAACTCAACTGAACATGAGCCACAGAAGATAGACATTTGCTTACTGCGCACAAGGAGCCCTCCTCGATCACTTTGAGAGGTTGCTCCGATCCCACACCGCCGTTAGTGAGACTCGATCCCTGCACAAGGAGCCCCCCTCACTTTTAAATAGTCATGATTCTTTATAGATATAAGGTTCAAATTGGCCACTGAACGTAACCTGAAAGTGCAATTAGGCCACTGAACGAAAAAAAAAAAAAAGTGCAATTAGGCCACTGAACACTCCAAAAATGTACAATTTCACCTGATAGCAGGTTACCCTCAATTTTAGCAGGTTATCTGCTTACGTGGCAGCTAAGTTGGCATTTTTAATAAATTTTAATTAAATTTTAATAATAACTTTTTATTAAAAAAAATTAAAAAAATAAAAACGACTTTATTTTATTTTTTATTTAATTTTTTCCAATTTTTTTTATAAAATTTATTATTAAAATTAATTATTAAAAATTATTTAAAAATTATTAAAAATGCCAACTAAGCTGCCACGTAAGCAGATAACCTGCTAAAATTGATGGTAACCTGTTATCCGGTAAAATTGCATACATTTGGAGAGTTCAGTGGCCTAATTTCACATTTTTTTAGTGTTTAATGGCCTAATTGCACTTTTTTTTTTTTTTCGTTCAGTGGCCTTGCATTTTCAGGTTACGTTCAGTGGCCAATTTGAACCTTATCCCTTCTTTATAATGTTGTATATGTTGTATTATATACTTTCTCAAACATTTCCAGCCCAAAGAATTTAAGGTCCACCGGGGTTTGAACATATGTTATATCAATTATCAACATCAAAGTAAAAAGACACACTTATCCCTTAAGAAAGGTCGGGAGTTCGAACCCTCTATCGTATGGAAAAATCAATATGTCCAACACTTTGTCCCTTAATTAGGCCGGCCCAATGCGAATTATGATTAGTCTGAGTATAATACGGGCTTAAAGGTGTCTCATACAATTAGGATATGCTTAGGACACTTCAAGGCCGGACAAAAAAAAGGTAAAAAGACACTACAAAATACCAAAGTAAATAATAAAAGTACACGTTTTCAAAAGAAAATAGTCAAATGGATGAAACATGATTCTCGTATATAAATATTACGAATTTAAATTTGTACAAATACCTTGTCGACTTCTCTATCAAATTTGTCACATATAATTTTTTTTAGTGCAATTTATTTTTAATATTCCAAATAATAATGCAAAAATTTGGCAAATACTTAAGGGGGTGGCGTTGTCAAATAATTATGGGGACACCCCACTTTTGAATGACGAGTGTATACTTTTGGTTTTTACCTGGGAGATGCCGTAGCTTCAACATCTAAAACGTCTCAATCATATTACGTACACGTAAACTCCATTAAAGTGACGTTTACTGCTTTCATAAAAACATAACGGTAAAAATAGTGATAATCACATTATGAAGTGTTATATACGGAGTACTTTATATTTATTTATTTATAAATAGTTTTCTAAAAATAAAGGTCAAATAAGTCATCGAACTACATAAAAGTATAATTAGATCATTAAATTAAAAAAATATGTAATTGAGTCCTTAACAACACAAAATGATGCAATTGAATCTAAAGTGACTTGTTTTACTTGTTAATTTGCTTACGTGGAGGTAATAATATTACAATACTAAATTTGTATTTTATTAAATAATTTTAAATAACAAAAGTTAAAAAAAAAACGTCTTCGTCTCCGGCAGCCTGAAGACGAAGATGGTCTCTTCTCTTCGTCTCCCTGCCTGAAGGGATCTCTTCGTCTCCAGCATACAAAGACGTCTCTTAGTCTCCATGCCGGAGAAGAAGGGACGTCTTTGTCACCTTTAAAAAAAATAAAATTATTTTGTTATTTAAAATTTAATATTATAACCTCCACGTCAGCAAATTAACAAGTAAAACATGTCACTTTGGATTCAATTGCATCATTTTGTGTTGTTCATGCACCCAACTACATATTTTTTGAGTTTAATTGCCAAATTACATTTTCGTGTGTAGTTCGATAACCTATTTGACCCTTATTCCAAGTTTCTATAATACTCACGTACACCAATATCAATTGCATCTAATAAAATCATATAATAAATATCTTAGTACACTATTGATATTGGTGTTAACAATATTTTATAGCAAATCACTTTGTGCTTAATTAGTATTTCTGTGACTCTCATTAAAGAAATGTCACATAATCGAACATATACTACACTATAATAAAGACAACAATATTACAAAAAAAAAAAAATATATATATATAATCATACATTCCTCCCATGATTGTTCCATGCATTTGTTGAAAAAACTATATATTTATACAAGAGAAAAATGATAAAATAAACTATCAAATTTTATGCGAAAAAAGTAGTTAAGCTCTTAAATGTTTAAAAGTTACAATTAAATATATCAACTGATCAATTGATGCAATTAAATTGATCACTTGTCAATTTGTTACAATTAAAGTTAATTACCCGACAAACTTAATGTTAAATATGATGATATTTTAGTTTTTAATAAAAAATATTTAAAAAATATAATAATCATTGCAATAAATTTTTTTCGGCTAATATTCGTTTCTCCGACCACCTTCGCCTTCTTCGTCATTTAAATGTATTTATTACTATGTCAACATTTTTATCGATTACCTAATATTTGGTTTAATTACATCAAATTTACAAGTTAATTTATTCAATTATGATTTTTGAGCCAATGATCTTATGGTTGAACGGGTATAATTGTGCTTCTCTTAAATGAGAGGTCACAAGTTTGAATTCAGTGTGCGGCATTGACTCTCTGTGTTTCATTGAGTCAACCGTATATACTCAACAAAAAAAAAATTGAAATTAAAAAGATTAACAAATTTTTTTGTTATAAAATTTATGAACTATTTAATTATTTTTCTTTTGACAAAAATTTGTGTAAAACTGTCTCACGGTCAAATTAAAAATATAATACTCCGTACTAAACATGAAGGGAAAATGTAATACTTTTGAAGAAATATGAAATAATTTTACATTTTGATTTAAAAATATCATATTTTCCCAGCAATAAACACTTGCCAATATTATTTAAAAGGGAGAGTGTTAACCCGTTTTTATGAAAAATGTAATATTACATAAAAATATAAAACTATTACACTTTTCATTATAAATAACAAACATTTTATTTCTTATTAGTATTACATTTTTGTATTAATTTAACCTAAATTGACTCTTTAACGGTGAGACGATTTCACACAACTGGGATCATTTCCCTTTATATAGGATTATTATTATAACATTCAATAATTGCCTTAAGTTTTATTAATCCCGAATTATGCAATCATACTTTAAAAAAAGTAGGGAGTAAATTTTGACTGACACAAATTTGTACGCATACAGAAAGTCCATCTTTTTCAACACCCGCTTTAATTTTGGCACTGTCTAGCCATTATAGCCAAACCCACATCATCACCATCATCAAAAAGAAAAGGACCCAAACCAAAATGGAAAAAGATGCAAACTTTATTCTATAAATTCAGCAATCTCTCTGCAGATACATACCACCCATTCATGGATACTTTAATTTATATGTATACAAACTACAGGGAGAGAGAGTGAAGGGTCTGTTTGGTTTAAAAAGCTGCTGCTCCTTCCTCCTCCTGCTGCTGCTGCAATTGGGTTTGTCCAATACCATGGATCTTGGGAATTCTTGTAGTGGCAATAGTTCCATCTTTCAGTTTAACATTTTTTCTTCTTCTTCCTCCTCAATTTCTTATAGTAGGAATGGAATTAGTGATTGTGGTTGCTTCAATTCATCACTAGCTGCCTTGTTGTCTTTTTCTTGTTTGTCTTGTAAGGCTTCGATTTTTGTCCCAAATTATACTCCTCTGCGTTGTTCTGATTCTATTCTCATCACCGTCACCTTGAGGGAAAAGACAGCCAGTTGTTAACCCTATAGAGCTCCTGTTTGTTTTGTTGTCTACTGCTTTTTTGTTTGCTAGTAGAGAGTCTAATTTGATCGCCCTTTTCTCCTTTTTTTCTGTAAAGATTGCAACTTTTAGGCATCTCTTTGCAAGAATGATGTCTGTTTCATTGCCCGGGTTGATTCATCGACCAATTGTGATGGGCTCTCCGGAGAACTCCAGCAGGTAGTTTGTTTCTCTCTTCTCTCTCTCTTATTAGCTTTTGATTTCAAGATTTAAAATGGGGTTTGATTGAATCCTCCTTTAGATGAGGGGTTGATGTTGTATAGTGTTTTATTATACATTTCTACTTGGTTTTTATGATGTAAAGTTATATGTGGGTTGGAGCAGAATTTGTGCTAGTACTAGTGGGCATTTCCCAATATCCCTTTGTTCTTTACGATCATCAGGTATGATTTGGATGGTCGTGTTGGATGTTGGATTGGGAATGAGAATGTGAAGTTGAACAAACGAGCTGCTAAGGCGCCCAAGAAGGCGAGGTTGAGAGTTTCGCCTTTTGCTTCATCAGGTCTCACCCAAACCCAAAATCCATCTAGTGCCCAGTTTTATCAGGAGGTTAGAATCCTTTTTCTTATGATTTATCTGTCTAGTTAATCGTTTGAATCTTTCTCGTTGCTTTGTTTATTGTTTCAATGAAGTTGTATATATAGTGCATTGCTGATATTTCATAGTAATAGATGAATCGTGGTGTGGTCTAGATTTATATGCCTTTGGTTGATCGAGTTTGTGATGACTGATTATATTGGCAGCTGTTAAGAGATGCTAGGGACAAATTTACTCAGGAGATATCTTGCCAGTTGAAGGACAAAGATATATCGCTAGCAAAGGTATATTATACTTTTCTTGTTGTTTGGGGTAGTTGGCAAGTTCAGTTGGATCATTAATATTTCATGAATTGCAAAGTGAATGAAGTGACAGGAGTCACGGGATTAATTTGGTGAAGCTTCTACGTATTTCTTCTTTGGCTCTTTAGATGTCTGGTAATTGGCGTGTTAAATGAAATCATCAATTTTGAGCCTTTTCACCATTCCGTGATTACGTAACCATTAGTTGATGCGTGGAGAATGGAATCTTCCGCAAATTAAGTTGGGAATCAATATTGCATTGGTTTTATACCCTAGAGTTTTTGCTTATATATGTTGCTACCGTGCTTATCTATTTGGCTATTTCTGATGTAACTGTCTAGGCTTTGCTTTATGTTGGTGCTGAAGATGAGGCATTTATGGCTTTCAATCGAGAGAAGGATTCTTATTCTCTCCAAAGCGAAAGAAGAACTGCTCTGTTACCATCTGATAATGCTCCGGATTGGAAGCACGTGGAATCGATGCCTCTAGCGGGAAAAAGTATGAAAAATTGGTTGGAGGAGTTGGATGCTATTGCGAGGGAGGTTGAGGCGGAGCTCGTTTCGAGAGAAATAGGATGTGATTTGGTCGAGGTTTTGGATGCAGTGAACGTTGTTCTTTTCAACTCGAGAGGTTTCAAAAGGTCGCATGTATTGGTAGATTCGAAGTGCTCATACCTGCACTCGGGGTTATGCTTTGGATCTTGTAGTGGTATATTTTCTTCAATTCCCGTCATTTTATATTTTACTAATGACTGCTTTAATTTTGACGCATCTAATGCCTTGGTTACGTTATGAACAGCAATTTTGCTTAGTGTAATTTACATTGAAGTTTGCCGACGACTTAATCTGACAATTGTGGGGTCCCGAGTTGGGGAAGATTTTTTAATATGGCCCCAAACAGGAAACCCCGAGGTCTGCTTCTTTTAAACTCGTTACAATAATGTTTCAGCTCTCTGTGTTTCTTTCACCGCCACGTCTAGGCTGGCATTGCTACTGAATATTTCGATCCTTCGAGATCTCCCGAGTCCTAACCCTATTGAATTCAAGCGTTCTATGTTTGTTTGCCACGTTTCAGGAGTTATTCAGGATTACTTCTGGGCACAGTTTATTTGGTACTGTCAATGGGAAGTGTGTGGAGGACCCCCGATCGAAGGCCTCAGACATCAACAGCCATTCACTTCCCGGGCTCGAGATCGCAACAAACTGGGATATCATCGGGATTGCTTTGGCCAATTTGATTGTAAGCTTCATTCTACTCTATTTTTTTTGGTCAGATCACGAGGTGTCCTGAACAGGTCCTAACTGTAAGATACACCTTTAAGCCCGTACCATACTCAGACTAATCCCTGTTCGCACCGGCCAGACCCAAATAAGGGGCAAAGTGTTGGCCAGATTGGTTTTTCCATACGAGAGGGGGTTCGAACTCCCGACTTCTCTTAAGGGATAAGAGTGCACGACCACTCACCCCAACCAAGCTGGTTCTTCAGTCTACTCCATTGATTGTATTCGATGCCTAAAATGAAATGGGCGCTTTTATTGCAGAGGCTTCACTGGAAACGTGCTTCAAGAGCAAACCATGGATTGATGCTTACTTCTCCACTTAGATCTGTTAATATTGCTGATGAGAAATGTAGCAAGATTGATGCCTCAAATGTCCCCTTGTTACGGCCTCAGGATTTGAGGTACCCATCTTAATTATACTCTCTTGTGCGTAATTCCAACTAGAATTGCTCCCCGTTCCTGATTAAACAGGCGCCACTTTCTGTTGTCCCTTACAGGTTCAAGATGCTAAGTTGCAACATTGGCATGAGAATGGAGATTTATGAATTTCGGAAGCATAACATTTTTCTCAAGGATTTAAAATTAAAAAAAAAAAAAGACATGCATCCCACACTTTTAACATACTCGCTTTAAGCATTCACAACAAACATAAATAATTTCCCCCAACTTATGGCTCAGTTTTGACTCTGAAAGTAACCCTTTTCCCATCTTTAGGCTATTCAACTATAAAATTTGAAACTAAATATTTTTTACATGCTATATATATATATATATAGTTTATATATTTGTATATATTTATATACCTTTTTCCCAATGACCTTGTGGTCTAGTGGGATGAAGTGACTCTCTCAAATGGGAAGTCTCATGGGTTTGAGCCCCAGTGGGGCAGATACTAGAGTCAATAGTACTTAACAGACTTTTTTGGAGCACTCGTAAATTTTCTAGTGGTGTGCTTGAACTTTCCTGCTTTTTTCCCTCTTTCCCCAAAGCCTACAAGAACCCCTCTTAAGAATAGGCGTCCCTGCATTTAAGTGTTAATTTTCTTAGTATGAAAGTGGTGAAATATGTTTATCTTTAACTAAATATTTCCGTGTCATTATTCATACAGGCAAATCTAAAGGATAATTTTCCTCTTTTTTTTTGGGGGGGGGGGGGGGGGGGGGGCGGGGGGGGGGTCATTGTGAAAGAAATTTGTTGAGAATGATAACGTCTGGTCTTCATTGGAACTATTCTATTAGTCCTTCGATGGAATTTCCGCTGTTCAATTCTTGTACAAGCCTCTGTCATTTTACAATCGAGCAGTTAATTACCCCCGCTTTGATGTTCAAAAGTTGAAGTTCCCATAACATTACTTGTATATGTGCATTGCGCTTTTATCTAACAAGCAGGAGATATTTGGTTACTTTATTTGACTATTGTCTGATCTGCAGCCTGAACTGCTAGCTAGTTTATATGTAACGCTAATCTATGGTATCAGATTGCCTTGATTGTTTGATAATATCCACGGGTTTTCTGACACCTGTTCTTGGGATTTAGACTGTCTAGTTTGAATGTCGCTTAACCATGACATTACTTTCTAGGCTGGCTATTATGGCTTCAGAAAGACTGCTGATTCTGCAGCCACACAACTGGATTCTGAGAAGAGACCACGGCCTCATGCTCTACTACAGCAGGTAAGCACAAAGACCCCATACGTGATATGTTTTTTTTTCCAGAAGCGTATTAGTAAAAACAGATTTGGGTATGAATGATGGCAGGGAATATGCGGCTGCAGTCCAGGAGCTTAGCATTTGCATGGCGTTTGCCCCGGAAGAAGAGGCAGAAGTTCTGGAGCCATTCGTCGAGAAGCTGCACCTGATGCAGGTTGAATCTTCGTGGAAATCGTTGGGGCATAAAGAAGGCCGGCTAACAGTTCCTTGACTTGTTTCTGCAAAAGCGGGTGGAGAATGAAGCTTTTCAGTAGTTCTGACATTGAAAGCATTGTAACTTTGGCTGTAACCTGGCTTCTGTAAATTTCTGTTTAAGCCATGTTTGATTTTAAGGTTTTGGAGAAGAGACATGTACGAGGAGATATGCAAGCTTCAAATGCTTGCAGCAGGCATGTTCTCATTTTTCAAAACCATGTTTTATTTAATTAGCAGATCAAATAATACTACCTTATTTAATCATATCAAAAGGAAAGTTTTCAGTTTCTTAGTAAAAATTTAAGTCAAAACAACTTTTATCGTGTCATTTGTAAGCAGTGAGTCCATCCCTCCGAGTGGATCTTAAAAAAAATTATCATCATAATTATCTGAATGTGCGTTTTGGATTAAGTATGTCTTACAACCTTAGTCAATAATGAGGTCTATATTATTAGGTAAGTAATTGACTGGCTCAGATAAAAATGAGGTCACTTAAGTTTTACATACTGTTTATTGTTTATAGTTACTTTTTCAACCTACTGAAGTACAAATAGTCAATACCGTCTCTACTAAAGCTCAAACCTATGACCTCCTCTTTGGAAGGTACACTTCATGGCACGAAATCACAAGGTCATTAACCATTAATAGCGAAAGAATTGATTTTAAGTTCTATAGATTTAATTCCTTCTTTATGACTATTATAGAAATTTCAAAATTCAACTATGAAACTAGTTGATATGGTAAATAGGGGTATACGTAGAGTGCCCCGCGGGTGTTACTGGCTAAGTATTAAAGCTCGGGAGTCCCCATAGTGGGCTGGGAAGCTCCAGTTCAATTCAATGCCAAATGTCCCATTTCAGCTGCAATAAATGCTCTATTTATAGGAGGAGGAGGAGACAGGCTCCGGCATGGCCAGCACGTGGCGAGCATGCACCGGTCGCCACCGAAGTCGTGTAATACCTCGCCACGCGGCGATGCCCCCCTGGTCAACTCAGGGGCACGAGGTCGGAGACATGCCGACCGGGGCCCGTGTGGTGGACGGTCGGTCCGCGGTAGGTCCCATTGCGGCACGAGCGGTCCGAAGGATGGCGGTCGGGAAGTTGCCAGGACGACGGGACCGGTCGGTCCCATGGTCCAGTCGGTCGGGACGGCGCCACCGACTGATACCGAGCAAAGAGCTACGGGTACAGGGTGTATATCCCTATCACTAGTACTTACCTCTACATCATATATATATATTTTTTATCTCAAAAGAGGTGATCGAATTGAAAACTATAACTCTTATATTTAAAAATTACAAATTAAAATTTTTTACCAATACTATTTTAGTTTAACCCATCATACATAATATTTTATGTATTTTTGTCATATGTCACAAAAAAAAAAAAAAAAAAAAAAACACTATATCCCTCTAACTAACATGATATCATACATGTCTGAAATTGAAAACTAAACAAAGTATATTATTAAATATATGCGATTCGTATATGAAAATTAAAAGAAAAATAGAAAGTGAGAGAGCGGCACCGAAGCCCCCGTTGAGGCGTTGACGGCTTTGTCCAAGTGTCGTTAGTTTCAGAGCGCCACCCTAATTCTTGAATTTCCAACACCAACACCATGGGCTGCGCTTCCCCTCCCTTTTCGCTCCACCGTTATCCTACATCGCCAAATCCCACCTCCGCCGCCGCCGCCGCCACTTTCTTTCCCGCCAATTTGAACCATTTCCACTGGCCGCAAAAACCGTTTCTTCCCATATCTTCTGTTCAATCAGTATTCCGGTCGTTTCCCTCGTCCCTCTCAAGCCGCAGTCCCACTCTTCTCCGACCTTTCGCCGCCGCCGCCAACCACAATGGAGACAATAACAACAACGGCGGAGGTAGAAATGGAGGCGGCGGCGGTGATTGGTGGGATGATTTCTTCAATTTTGACAAGAAGCATTTCTTTCTGCTCCCTTTTTCTTGTATGTTCACAAATGAAAATAATATTGTTGCGTCTGTCGCTTCGTGTAAGCCGCTACTCCTATTACTCGTTTCCGTCTCGTCTTCCGTCACCTGCGGCTTGCTATTAGCTTCATTAGTACAGGCGAAGACTAATGGTGAAGAGAATGATGCAGAGGTTTTGTATGAAATTCGAGGAGGAAAGCGGGTTGAGCTCGTAGCGGATCACTTCAAAGATGAATTTATTGTTCCAAGAACAGTGGGCTCCAATTCAAAACCGTCCTCTTTCAGGGACTTTACCGTTGATTTGTGGATGCAATGTAGGAACTTAGCCATGAATTTGATGTTGCCAGAGGGGTTTCCCGAGAGTGTTACTAGTGATTACTTGGAATACTCTCTTTGGAGAGCTGTTCAAGGTGTTGCCGCCCAAATGAGCGGCGTTCTGGCCACTCAGGTACCCATTGTTGAGAAACATGCATTTTTCATTTATATAGAGAAAAAGTAGCATCACAAATTCTTCTCAAACAAGACAGTGCCATCATTTTGGTTTGTTGAGAACCTGATTTTGGTTCTGGGAATTCTTCATTCTTGATAGGCTTTGCTTTATGCTGTTGGATTGGGGAAAGGGGCCATTCCTACTGCTGCAGCTGTGAATTGGGTGCTCAAGGATGGAATTGGATATCTTAGCAAGATTTTGTTGTCAAACTATGGCAGACATTTTGATGTCCATCCAAAAGGTTGGAGGCTATTTGCTGACCTCTTGGAGAATGCTGCTTTTGGACTGGAGATAATGACTCCAGCATTTCCCCATCTGTTTGTACATATTGGTGCGGTTGCTGGAGCGGGGAGATCAGCTGCTGCATTAATACAGGTAAATTGTTCAACCCAAGTGTTAAAAATCGTGACTTGTTTTCTGAAAACTATCAAGTCAGAAAAGTTTTCTATAATGTAGGAGAGCTTGGGGTTTATTAAACATTTCCATCTGGCTTTTGTACTTGAGTGTTAAGCATATAGCCTAGATGGAGCACATGCTTCATTTGGTATCAGAGCCTATAGCCATTAATGTGCAATCCAACTATCAGTTTAGGCTTTTAGTTGAGATGGAGCACCTTCATTTTGAGTTTGTATGTATTCATCCATGTTTTAAGGATTATGTAAAGCTATGGGTTGGGATCCTCATGCATTAGTTGTCATGTATTTCTGGTATAAGTGTATTTCTCTGCACATATATTCCACCAAATGGGTATTGTCACTGGAGAAATGCAAGTTTTGTTCAATAATGCACTCGATATCTTTCTTGTGATAGGCTGCTACGAGGAGCTGTTTTTATGCTGGCTTTGCTGCTCAAAGGAATTTTGCTGAGGTGAATCCTCTGTTTGGTTACTATCTTTTGGTTTTTAAAGCAATTTGTCTGGTCCACAATACCTTTCTAAAGATTTTTATTTCAGTTGATTATTTTCCACATTTCTTGTAGTTCTGAGATATAAGGTAGTTGTGTGAACATGCTTTTTCTAAGGTTTCTCTAATGGCAGGTAATTGCTAAGGGTGAAGCACAGGGTATGGTGAGCAAGGGCATTGGAATTATGCTCGGAATAGCACTTGCCAACTACACAAGTTCTTCTACGCCTCTTGCTCTTGCTTCTTTTGGCGTGATAACTTGGATTCACATGTTCTGTAATCTCAAATCATATCAGTCCATTCAGCTAAGGACTTTAAATCCTTACCGCGCAAGTAAAATCTTTTTCCTTTACTTTTATTGTGTTTGATATTGTATCATCCATTAGTAACATGCTATAGAAAAATTCCTGCATACAAATCCAGCAAATGACATTGTAGTTTTGTACTGACTTTCAACTGATTTTACGGTGGTGTGGGTGGTTCCCTTTATATTGTTAAAGTGTGCCCTTGATTTTTTTTTTTAATTTTATTTTTTGAAAGCTACTGACTCTATTACAGTGTAGTATCTGTTCATAACTACTTTCTCAACCTACTGAAACACAAAGAGCCAATAATGCCTCCACTGAGGCTCGAACTCACAACCTCCCATATGGGAGTCCAACCCGGGTGCCCTTGATTTGTTGCTTTCAATACTGTTAATTGCTCTCAAGGAGGATCGCTTATTAGTACTTTTATGTGGTCTTGCAGGTTTAGTTTTTAGTGAATACCTGCTTAGTGGCTTAGTTCCTTCTGTTAAGGAGGTGAACAATGAGGAGCCACTTTTTCCTGTCTTTCCGGCTTTATGTTTGAAGCCAGCATATGAGGTAAGTAAGTTATTTTTCGTTTAAACTCAGCTGCACTTGCCTAAGGGTAATCTATATGCATAGTTTGTGTCAGCTACATGGAAGATTTTATTTCTCAGAGCTTGGTATACATGGAAGATTTTATTTCTCAGAGCTTGGATACCAACTCTCTGATGGTAGTTTTTCTGGTACGAGTCTTAGGCACAAGCAGAGGATCTTTCCCAAGAAGCCAAGAATGCAGCTGCTCATATTGTGGATAGGTTACAACTGGGTGCTAAACTATCTGACATTGTTAAACGTAGGGAAGATGCGCTTGCACTGCTTGACCTCTACAAAAATGAAGGTTATATACTCGCAGAACATGAAGGCAGATTCTGTGTAAGAAAACTTGCCCGTTTTGCTTTATTTCCCAATTTTCTTGCTCATAATGTTCTGCTTTGTTTTAATATTGGGCATTGAGCAGGTTGTACTCAAAGAGAACTCGTCACCACAAGACATGCTGAAGTCGGTGTTTCATGTTAACTATCTCTACTGGTTGGAGAGAAATGCGGGAATTCTATCAAGTGGTGTGCGAAGTGATTGTAGACCGGAGGGGAGACTCCAAATGTCTTTAGAATATGTTGAGAGGGAATTCTGCCACGTCAAGAACGATAGTGAAATAGTAGGTTGGATGGCTGATAGTCTCATTGCAAGGCCTTTACCAAATAGAATCCGTCCTGGTTATCCAATTACTTCTCCTGTCATGGCCGGCTGATTGATTTGCAACACTTTGCGTTAAACCTTGTAAGCTGTTGGCTATGGCACAAGAGGATGTGGTTGAAGTTGAATGATGGTAAACTGCAGTTTCAAGATAACACTGATTTGGTTGAACCCTCAAGATGGAGAAGGCTACAATGAAGGGGATAATGCACTAGCAGAATGCTAGTTTTACAAAGTGGTTGAATGGTTGCCCTTGTCTGAACAGCTTTGTGTCCTTACTGTATATGCTACTAAAATGAATGTTCATTGCACCATCAACCAACATTCCTTAATTCTTTGAGGCTCAATGGATCTTGATTAATCTTTTAGTGTGACAATGGTCATATTGTTGTAGTCTGAACACTTATTGTGATTAGTTGAATGTACTGGAAATCAAGATTTGATGTATACCTCATATGAACTCATGATTAGCTTTAATTTCGGCTTTGCAAATTCATGGTGTTTTTGGTTCATACATGAGAATCAAAATTAAATATTTGGTAATGATAATCGGTATTTTATTAATATTGAGAATATTGAGGTTTGGTTATGTATTTACTTATAATAGGGAAAACAAAAGAAAGAAAAAAATCAAAATTTCAAACTGAGCTGCTGAATTTCAACACCGGCCCAGTTCTCACGGTCAAAACGTCAAACACCAGGCGGGCGCTTTCGAGTTTGAAGCTTCTCCGCCGCGGGCGCCCATGGAGGAAACTCAAACTCTACAGAAGCTGTGGGAAGAAGTTCGGGATCTAAGCCTAGGCACAACCTCTCAAGTCGACCGTCTCCTCTTTCCACCTACGCCTCTTCATTTCCTCCGCGACTACGTTTCCCCCAACAAGCCTTGCCTCATCTCCTCCGCCATCAACCACTGGCCCGCCACCACTCGCTGGCACTCTACCCAGTACCTCCTCGACGCCCTCTCCTCCTCCACCGTTTCCCTCCACCTTACCCCAACCGGCCGAGCTGACTCCGTTACCTCCCTTCCCACCTCCCCTTCTTCCCTCTGCTTCGCCTCAGCCCATGTCGAGCAGCTCCCTTTCCCTGACGCTCTGTCCAAGGTTCTCCAATCCGACAACGGTTCCACCATCGCTTACCTGCAGCAACAGAATGATTGCTTCCGTTCGGAGTATGAGGCTCTCGGTTCGGACTGTGAGCCCCATTTTTCCTGGGCATCCGAGGCCCTGGGATGCCTTCCTGATGCCGTGAACCTCTGGATTGGGAATGATTTGTCGGAGACATCGTTCCATAAAGACCATTATGAAAATCTATACGCCGTGATCACTGGGGAGAAGCATTTTCTGCTTCTTCCTCCCACGGATTTCCACAGGATGTATATTAGAGAGTATCCGGCTGCTCAATACCATTATTCCCAGGTTTAAGTTTCTTCTCATCATTATCATATCATAAATTTTTGTTTTCTGCTAATATGTAGGCATTGCAATGGTGTTGAGAGAAATTGAAGAGGAGAATAGTATACATTTGTAAATTTTCTGTAATGTCCTACTTTAATATTGGATTATATATAGGAGAAGAGGGAGTTCGAGTTGGAAGTTGAGAAACCAATTAGGCATGTGCCATGGTGCAGTGTGAATCCTTACCCTTCAGAAGAGAAAGAAAAAGCAGAGTTTCCTCTATATTTCAATGGGCCTAAGCCATTTGAAGTTACAGTAAAGGCTGGAGAGGTTCTTTATTTGTAAGCATTTCATAAATTCTCATCTTTGCTTGTTTCTTTCCTATCCGTAGGTTTGTTTAGTTACATGTTCTTAACACCATATATAATCATCTGTTGTCTCTAACTTTGCTGCTGTATTAGCTTGCTTTTCTCGGTGATCTCTTAACATAGACATGCTTGAAAATCCTCCATGCTGTGCTGTGGTAATAAAGGATAGAATTAGATTCAAAACTTGTTTTGCTAAAGAAAGGGTTATGAATACAAATGCATACCAGTTAGAATTATGTTTTTAAAGAAATTATAGATAGAATTGTGTATTCTGGATCCTTAAGGCTCCATCAAGATGGAGTTATTGCGAGATTGATTAATTGTGGATTTTCTAAGTTGCTTCAAAATCTGCAGGCCAAGTATGTGGTTTCATCATGTTAGACAAAGCCCGGACAGCAGAGGACTCACCATTGCAGTAAACTACTGTAATACTCCTTAAATTCCCTTCCATTCATGTATTAGATTCTCATGGTGTGTATTTCTTTGTGCCTAAATGAGCTAAGATGGTTGTTTTTTGAAACATACAGGGTATGATATGCGGTTCGATATCAAATATGCTTACTTCAACTTTCTTCAGTCTATACCTTCCTCAATACACAACTACCAGGCATCCTGCAGAAAAGTATGCACAGAACCATGTTCTTGCATTTCGAACGATGAATCCAACATATCTTCTCCTCTCTTAACAATAGATGACACTAATGATGGTGAGCAAATGTAAACTAAACATGGGTGATCCTTTGGGGGATTATAGGCAAGCAAGAAAGTCATGCAAAATATATATCTGTTTATTTGAATGCTGATTTTTCAACAAGTGATTTTTCAGATTGTTACACACACACACAAACCAAGGAATTATCAAAATGTGATGGTTGAGACCTATCAAATAGCTAAATTGAGTATTTGGTAATTAGCCCGTATCGACAGTTCTATTGGTAAGTAATTACTAAGTTAACTGGCTTGTTTGGTTATCCGTGATTAGCGGTTATCAAATAGTATATTGTATTAGCGTTTGTAAAAGCAGCGGTTTGCTAACCACTACTCCAAACTGCGGCTAACCAAACGATTTTTTTGGCGGTTTGACATGGTCAAACCGCCAAAAATGGCGGATACGCCAATAACCAAATATGGCCGGAGAGACAACAGGAACGTAACGTGTAGAGATTAAATTTTATATACATATAAAATGAAACAATAATGCAAGCCTCCTTAGGTGTTTAAACCACAATGCAACCCAATCTTGACTCTTGACCATTTATTAAACGTCACGTTAAAGCTCACAAGACAACCACTCATACCATATCTGTATACTTTTCAAGTTTCCACTAAAATTTAAAAAAAAAAAAAAAAAAAAATCTCTGCAGTGCCATTGCAAGCCACGTCACTTTCTCTTCCTTTTAGTGATATCCAAGAGGGGCTGGAGAGTCCTTCAATTGTTGTCCCTGGTAATGAATATCCTGCAACCACAACAAATTCATCAGCATCGAATATAATATATAATAAATATTTCGCATTTTACAATAATAATAAATAATTCTTACCGAAGCAAAGTGGTTGACGTCACGGTGATGAGCCTCGTCAGCCCTAACAACCAAGACAACATCCCGGAGAGTAGATCCCGGCGGGAGGCGCCAGTAGTCGAGAGCGATGGCCGGAGCCGGCACGTTCTCGATATTACCCTTGTCAAGCTCCTTGAGGAACTCGGTGTAGGAATGGATAGCCTCTTCCTCCAAGTATCCGACGATGCGGTGAGCCAGCTTGGGGGAGACGAGGTAGGCGGCGAAGTAAGCGTTGAAGAAGACGCCCTGGACGGCGAAGACGAGGGCGCGTTCGTACCACCGCGGCTGAGCAACCTCCATGAACGTCATCAGATGCATTCTCTCGTTCTCCGCTTCTTCCAGCAGCGCTTTGATCCACCCCCCGCTGTGCTCGAATCGCCGGAGGGATTTGCAGTGCAGCAGCATCCCTCCCACCATCCCCGGAACCGCCGCCACCGTCTCCAACATCATTGCACGACAACCATACCTCCTCTGTAACATCAATTTTTAACCATCAATTTCTTGCTCTGATCTTCAGACCATAATTAATGTTAATTGTCACAATTAAGGAATATATATATATAATCCTATATAGGGTTGCATTCAAATACAAACCCCTTAAAATACAAACTTGAGCTTCTGCACACATTAACATACTTACATGCACACAAGGCGTACTAGCGACAATTTTTGAGATTAACTCGTGCACACATTAACATACATGCACACAGTGCGTAGGGAGAAAAATCACAACCATCCATCAAAACTCGTGCACATATTAACATACTTACATGCACACAGCGCATGAGGAAAAATCACAATCATCTATCAAAACTCGTGCACACATTAACATACTTACATGCACACTGAGTATACTGTCAACAATATCTATGATTAGCTTGTGCACACATTAACACAATTACATGCACATAGTTTGTAAGTTTGTATTTGAATATATATATATACCTGAAAGAAAACATCAGTGGGAAATCTGAGCGCCTTTACAGTCCAATATGCTATCTTATCCAAGAATGTGACCGGCACGTGGTGTTTCTTCAGATCTATACTCAAATCTGCTTTGTACGTCTCCCATGGCTTCAATTCATTCAAGATTTTCATTCATCAAATCAATAATAATATCAAAGAGAGAATTTTATGTTTTTCTGCAGATTATATATTAAATAACGTAACGTACCCTAAAACACTGCCATTTCCATTCGGTGCCATCCTCTTTGGCAACCTTAGGAGGAGCAACGCCCCAGTAACTAGCAACGGCCGAATCAGTTCGGCCGCCGGTAGTGGCGGCGCCGCCGTTTTTCTCGTCCTTCTCTTTCTGCTTGTCACCCACAGCCACCGTGCTCATTCTCCTCGTCCAAGCAACCAGCACTTCCTCGGAAGCCTTGGATGGATTCCCATGCAAGAAAGCCGCCGCACCGCCGCGGAAAACTCCTCCGATCATCCCTGCCTCGCTGGCTGCAGCAGTCGCCGGACGACGGAGAACCGCCGTCGAAAAATAGCGCGGGGCAACATGGCCCGTCAACGATCGGGCCAGCTTCGTTCCGCCACGGCTCATCATCTTCAACAAACGATCAAACCAAAGAAATTTCGAAACTGTAAATCACAAAATTAAGAATGAAAGGGTTTTTCTTGGTTTTGCAAGAAGTTTGGAAAGCTTAGCTTGAGGGACAAGAAATTATGTTTCTCTCTCTTCGTGTGCGTATTAAGGGGTTTAAACGCCGCTTTTATATACTTCCCAAGGCAATGAGGCGGTGGAAAATTAGTTTTATTTTTTCCCCTAAAAAAAATAAAATTCTAAACTTTTATGAAATGACCAAACTGGGCCGCATCTTGTGGTTCATAAAAATAGAATATATTGCGCAAGGCAGTCAACAGGTCAAACTCGCCGTTCCCGTGAAAGCCAAGCAGAATTACGTCATGCATGTGGATAGAAGTTTCTCGAGTTTGGTAGTACATATACGATTCACTTCACACAAAACGTACTTCCATTAATGTACGACATAGTACATATTTCAAATGGTACAATTTTTTTTTTAAAGCGAATCAGACGATTGTATTAATGAATCAACGCAGAAATAGAGTCAGGAATACATTAGAATAATCCTAAATAAAAATTAACGAAGTTAAAATATGAGCATATAAATTAATCTGTCTAGAAACGTGATTTAACAAAAATTGATTAAATAACGACATAGAAGCTCAAATGGTACAAAATTTGATTTGTATGCAAATTAAATCTACAAACATGCATGCACTTACCGTGCTTAATTAGCTTCATTTAATTAATTGGTAAGGAGATTCCTTGATGCAAAATTCTTTCAATAATATACACACAAGTGTACTGTTGTTAAGGGTTTAGTTTGGTGGGGACGTTTTGGGAATTAAACAAATGTATTTTCTAATTTCCAGTGTAGTGTAATAGATAATTATGAATATAGAAAGCAAGTATTGAGGTAATTAATTGATAATTAAATTGAATAAGGGATTAGTATCCTAATAAAGCATTTCTTGGGGGCCAAGCTAAGGTAATAGTGCTCAAGTAGGAATAAAACGCTGTTGACAAGTTGGAAATTGGGATTATCCTGAGGTTGGTTTGGAAGCGTGTCCAACTAACTGTCTTTCACGTGGAATGGTTTGGAACACACGACAAGTATGTTGAATATCGTCCAAAACAGCAGTTGGTTCATTATTTGTTTTTTTTTTTTTTTTTTTTTTTTTTTTTTACAATTTATGCCTCTACTGAGGCTCGAAATCTAAAACCCCTCTCACAAAGAGGAACGATTCGATACCAGTGGACCACAAGCTACTTAGTTCATAATTGAAGACGACGGAAAATGTAGTAGAAAACCAATTATTATTGTGTGCACCATGGTGTGTGGACTATACTATCAAATAATGAACATTATTATTTTTACACAAATAATATATTTTTAATATATTAAAAATATACATTGTATCCCAGAAAAGTACATTATTTAAGTATTGAAAATTCATTATTTTGTATAATGTACATTCAGTATACAAATAATGTACTTTTAGTATATTAAAAATGTACTTTTGTTATGTTTCATACAACATTGTGTGTACCATGATCCACACAATAATTTGCCTCATATCCGAGTCTTCCACGACAAAATTATTCTGTAGACTGGGGTCCACCTTGCAAGGTGGACCCAAGTCTAAAAATACACCATTTACATATTGAATATTCACAATTTTACATATTTTTTTTTTTTTTTGAATGCTACTAGCTCTATTACATTGTAGTATCTGTTCATATACTTTCTCAACCTACTGAAACACAAAGAGCTAATAACGCCTCTACTAAGGCTTGAACTCACAACCTTCCAAATGAAAGTCCAACCCGGATACCATTGGACCACATAGTCCTGGTACAATTTTACATATTAAATATACACAATTTACATACTATATGTTTACAATTCAAATTGTGAACATTTAATATGTAATTGTGTATTGGACCAGATCCACTACCATCCAGGTCCACCACTCGAGTCCACTCGAGTCCATTGTATAACTGTTCATAACTGTCACCACTAGTAACTTATCTATAATTTACATGTCTCTACTTATATTTTAAAAGTATTTTAAAAAAGAGTTTAGCTATCATCTAGAAATTAAACTAGGGATGTCATTCTTAATTAAACAAAAAAAAATAAAAATTATGGGTTAAGATATTTAATAAAAAAAAAAAAAGTGAAAATGATTAGGAAATCAACTTAATAGTGCGAAACTGATAAACCCAATCGTTTGAGCGGCTAAAGACAACTACTTGTTGCACAAACAACGCAAATTATTCGGTGCATTGTGCACACGATTGCAAAAATGACGTCATTTTAATTAAAAAACGACGCGTTCGACTTTAAAAAAAAAATTATTTTCGATTGCCGTTAACGGTATTATGTTGTGTTATATCTAGAATTAATGAACTATATATCCAGAATTAGTGAACTATATATCCACACCGGTTACTGATACTTTGTTTTGGCTTATGGCAGTTCGCTGCGTCTGTGTATTCAGAATGAATGAACTATATATTTAGAATGAATGAGCTATAAATCAAAATTAGTGAATTATATATCCAGAATTAATGAACTATATATCCAGAATTAGTGAACTATGTATCCAGAATTAATGAACTATATATCCAGAACTAGTGAATTATATATCTAGAACTAATGAACTATATATCCACACCGAAAATGGTGAAAATCCCGTCGATTGGAGTTAAAAAAATAAAATTGATTGATGGTGTTAAACTGTGCCACTAACGGCATCGTTAATCCACCATAGTGAAACGGCATCGTTTGCAACCGTGTGCACCATGCACAGCATAACGATTGCACAAAGAATGTGACACAAAATATATATGAGAGGTAGGCTCCTCCTTTAAAAAAAAAATTAATAAATTTAGTACAAAATAAATAATGAAAAATAAAAAAGTATAGTAATTATTACTCCGTCCCATTTTGCATGTTTTATTTTCCTTTTTTGTTTGTCCCAAAATGTTGTCATCTTTCCAAAATTGAACATCACCATCATTTTATTTTTTTCTAAATTACCCTTATGATTTTTTCTTTTATTTCCAAAAGTGAAAGACATAATTGGAAAATATATAGCATTTACTTTAATTCCTTAAAAAGCATGCAAAAAGAAAATGAGACAACCAATTCGGGACGAGGAATTAAAATTTTCATTTTGTCCCAAGTTGATGGAATCGTTTGATTTCTGAAAGAGAAGCCATTGCGGGTCTGGTTAAGAGTATAAAATTCAAAGGCCACGACAGTGACCTGGGACCCATGAATCTACCTTTGCAGCCTTGGAGATTCCTTTGATTCCAAAGACTTTTATGCACCATCTTGCGGCTTTGACTTTACCGTCACAATAAACTAGGCTCTGAGTTTACAACTTGCCCAGTTTTTGCTCCTCATAACTCATAAATGGTGTGAAGAAAGTGTGAAGGTAGAAGAAACACATAATCCAATCCATGGCTTCCAAGTGCCCACCTTTTGAGTTCTCTGCTCAGTATTACCATGCTTCTGGGAACACTTGTGTGAGGCAGAGCAGCTTTTTTGGGGACAAAGTAGCGCTTAATCAGGGAGTTGGTTACTCTGTCATTCTTGGATTTGGAGCATTCTTTGCTGTCTTCACTTCTTTTCTCGTACTGTCTAATTTTACAATTCTTGTTCTTCATAAATTTCCCATTTTTTTTGTTGGAGTTTTGGGTAGTTTCTGGGATTTCTTGTAATTTGCAATAATGCAATAATGCAATTTTGATGTTTACTTGTCTGGGGATCATAAGGTGTGGCTGGAAAAGAGATATGTGGGTTCACGCCACACTTCAGAATGGTTCAACACAGCTGGGAGGAATGTGAAAACAGGTCTTATTGCCAGTGTGATTGTTTCTCAGGTACCATGTTTAGCCTCCCTGTCTGTTGAGCATATAATTTATTGTTATGTATGTCTTGTTTAGATGTAGGCGCATTGCAGAACTATGTAAATCTTGTATTCTTTACTTTCTGCCATTATTTTCAATTCTTGAGATAAACTGCAACTATCGATTTAGATGAGATGAAAGTCACGAAACACATTTTTTCATTCGGTATCAAAGTACTGAGGCAAAAGCTCAAACATTTGATTGTGCAGTGGACATGGGCAGCTACGATCTTACAGAGCTCGAATGTTGCCTGGGAATATGGAATCAGTGGTCCTTTCTGGTATGCAAGCGGCGCCACCATTCAGGTTTGGCTACGTACATTTTGAGCTAGCATTTGTGGTGTAGTTAAGGTTTGGGTTCGTATCAATGTTCATCAATGTTGCTAATGAACAGGTACTCCTCTTTGGTGTAATGGCCATAGAGATCAAAAGGAAAGCTCCAAATGCTCACACTGTTTGTGAAATTGTGAAAGCAAGGTCTGTTTCATTCTCCACTAGTAACTAAAACCTCAACACGAGACCTTGGAAACTTACAAGTTTATTGCAATCCTATTGTTCCTTCAGATGGGGAACCTCTGCTCACCTCGTGTTCCTATGTTTCTGCTTCTTGACAAACATTATTGTAACCGCCATGCTTCTCCTCGGCGGTTCTGCTGTTGTCAATGCGCTCACTGGAGTCAACATCTATGCTGCAAGCTTTCTCATACCTCTTGGAGTAGTTGTCTATACTTTAGCTGGAGGGCTAAAGGCCACTTTCTTGGCCAGCTATATACATTCTGTTATAGGTCTGCTGTCCTATACTTGATACAGTTCATTTTCATAGTACAATAACGGTTGTTAACCAGCTTGGTTGGCGTGAGTGGCCGTGCACTCTTGTCCCTTGAGAGAGGTCGGGAGTTTGAACCCCCTCTCGTATGAAAAAACCAATCTGGCCAGCACTTTGCCCCCTAATTGGGTCGGGCCGGTGCAAACAGGAATTAGTCTGAGTATAGTACGGGCTTAAAGGTGCCTCCTACACTTAGGGTCTGCTCAGGACACCTCGTGGTCTGACCAAAAATTTTTTGGGTTTTTTTGTGTGTGCAGTTCATGTTGTTTTAGTCATCTTTGTTTACCTCGTGTACGTGGGAAGCAGTGAGCTTGGTAGTCCAAGCGTAGTGTACAGACGCCTACTAGAGGTTGCAAGCAAATCAAGAAGCTGTCAATACCCGCTCTCTCATGTTGATCAATCTTGTGGTCCTGTTAGCGGGAACTTCAAGGGGTCATATGTGACCATGCTGAGTTCTGGTGGTCTTGTGTTTGGTATCATCAACATCATTGGCAATTTTGGAACAGTTTTTGTTGACAATGTGAGTTCATTCATAAATTCATAAACTGAAGAAAATGCAGGAAAGTTGTGAAAATCGAAAAACTTACTTTCTGAGTAACGAAGTTGTTGGATTGATAGGGATACTGGGTAAGTGCCATTGCTGCAAGACCATCCTCGACGCACAAGGGCTACTTATTGGGTGGGTTGGTCTGGTTTGCTGTGCCATTCTCCTTGGCAACATCACTCGGTTTAGGGGCACTAGCGCTTGATCTACCAATAACAGCAAGCGAAGCAAGTCATGGACTCGTTCCACCTGCAACAGCTATAGCGTTAATGGGCAAAGGAGGATCGGTTCTTCTCCTAACCATGCTTTTTATGTGAGTCATCCTATCCCTGCCCCCAACCTCATTTCTCGCACTTTTCTTGGCCTAATTTCCTTTTTTTTTGGTGATGAGCAGGGCTGTAACATCTGCGGGTTCTTCAGAGCTTATTGCAGTATCCTCGTTATGTACGTATGACATTTATCGTACATATATAAACCCAGATGCAACTGGGAAGCAGATCTTAAAAGTTTCAAGGGCAGTTGTCCTAGGATTTGGATGTTTTATGGGTATTCTAGCAGTGATCTTGAACAAGGCTGGTGTTTCTCTGGGCTGGATGTATTTGGCAATGGGGGTTTTCATAGGATCAGCAGTTCTACCTATAGCTTTCATGCTTTTATGGCAAAAAGCAAATGCTTTTGGGGCAATTCTTGGAACAACAGTAGGGTGCTTCCTAGGAATCATTACTTGGTTGTCAGTCACAAAAATCGAATATGGAAGGGTAAATCTCGACACAACGGGGAGAAATGCCCCCATGCTTGCAGGGAATCTAGTCTCCATACTTACCGGTGGAGCTGTTCATGCTGTCTGTAGCTTCCTGAGGCCTCAAAACTACGACTGGGAAACCACTAAGCAGATAACTGTCGTCGAAAAGGAAAGGACCGAATTACCATCTGCAGAGTTCAAGGAAGAGAAACTGGTCAGCGCTAAAAGATGGATAATCAAATGGGGCATCGGTTTCACTCTTGTGATTGTCGTGTTGTGGCCCGCCCTCACACTTCCTGCTGGTAAGTCATTCATACCCAGAATCTCACTTTTCAACTAACTATACGATAAACAAGCAAATAAGGCTAACACAAAAGGATTGTAACACGATGCAGGGCAATTCAGTAAAGGGTATTTCACATTCTGGGCAGTCATAGTCATTGCATGGGGTACCATCGCCTCAGCAGTGATTATCGCTCTGCCATTGATGGAGAGCTGGAAAACTATCCGGAGCGTTATTCTTGGCATGTTTACAAACGATAGGCTTATGGAAAAAGTCGAAGACTTGAACTCAAAGCTGCAGGCAATCATTTCAGCAATTCCAGAAGCAGAGAGAATATACTTACTTGAGAAAGAGAAGGATAAGAGGAAAGAAGCATCAGAGAGAGACCAAATATCTCCTGCATAATCACACTTTATCTGGCTTGAAATCGCATACATCTGCAACAACAACAAAGGCATTGGTTTTCACTGAAAACCCAGAAGCCATCTGGACATTAGAAGTAAGAGTTGAAGGAATTCATCATACTTCTTTTCATATGATGCAAGTAGGTACCAATATTGTAATTCAGCTGCAACAAAGAAAGTATGTATTTAGCAACATTACTAATAAACAAAGTATGTGTGAAGATTCAGTAACTTGAATCCATAGTTTCACCAAAACACTGAACTATGAAAAAATCCTTCTGGATTTAGCAGACCTATAATCTTCATTTCTATATACGAATTCGAATATGAGCTATTTGGATCACCCTCAAAATTTTGGGTATCCCATTGTGATGCAAAAATTGAGGTAAATGGAAGAAAAATACTAAGCTACAAGGCAATGAAAATGCCAGTAAATCTATAAATATATGTACATTTGTTATCAATTAAGGAGCGAAACAACATAATCTAATGCTCTCCATCAAAAGTCGATGCTTAAACTAGTTCGCAATCTGCCTTCTGTGCTGGCGTCCAGCATTATGATGTCTTAACCAGTGCAACGAGATTAAGATTATGAAGCAGATCTCTGAATCTGATTATTAATTTGACGAAGAAGATCTTTCTCAGCATCAGCTTCTTTCTTAGCAGAGGAATTGGAAGCTGTTTGTTCCTTCAAGGCTTCCTTCTCCAACTTTTTCCTTTCAGCATCGGCCAGTTGTACATTCTCATCACGTGATTTGTTAAACATTTTGGTGAAGATGGCCAACGTTTGTGTCACTGCATGCAGAACAGAAATGTTGGACTTGACACTAGAGATCAGTACAAGAAATAAAGAAATCATCTAGTCTAGGGTCATATTTTTCAGGAAATTATTCCGTGATGTATAGAATTGAGAAATTGGAAAGTAACCAGAATTTGCATTGAACAAGGGAAAGTGCAATTTTAAGATATACTAAATATTTCTAACCTTGCTCAAAGGGGCACCGAGCAGGATCCTCACCAAAATACAGGGATAGAGAGTCTGCATTTCTCCCCTGCAAATACCATAGTGTGAACACAAATAAAGAAAAACGATATGCAAAAGAAAACCAGGAGAAACAGAAAAGGTGAAACATAGCAGGTGGCTCACCACTTCACTATACAGGGTAATTAGAGACCTAACATCAGCTTCAGCAGTATCAAGGAAACTCTTCAAGACCTGAAAAAACAGGTTCAAAAAACTAGATATGCATTGCAATATCCAACATAAAAGTAAAATAAAATTTTCGATAACTATCAAAGAATATATTTAATTATTTACAAGTTGCATCCATATTTAGAAAATCAAACGTTGACTTCAAGGAAAACATTATTAGTACACCAGTAATCCTAGAAAGAGATGCTCGCTGTTAACGACTTTTTTGCAACCTTCAATAAACTATGCATATCATATGAAACATCAAGCTAAAAACCAGAGGTAGAACCTCGTTCACCTTGTAATTCCAAGCACGTAAAAGAAAGTAAGAAAAGTATTATCAAGTCTAACCTTATGAAAGCCAGAGGATATAGCACCATCATTGTCTGATGCAGCAAGTTCTTGTTCAACCTTCTCAAGACCTTTAGTCACTGCTTGCATTTCTTCAGCCAAAGACTTCAATTGGATCTGATCATTTAGTGTGGCATTAGCAAAAATAGATACTAACCATAGAATGAAACATCCCAAGTGGAAGCAGGGCTTAGCAAAGAAAAACCACAAGTTTTTAAAGTTAACAAACCTTAGAGGCTGCTTCCAAATGAACAAGATCCTTGCCAAAATCAAGCAGCTCTGGCATTTTCTCAGCAAGGAGCTGGTGGACAAATTGACAGTAGCACCCCAATTTAAAAACAAAAAATATAACCCTTAAGACCATAGTACCAGATTACCATCACAGAAATTCAGACAACATTTGTTAGCACAAGCAATAAAATTATAATTCACTATCTCAAACCCACAAATCGGAGAAGTATCACAAGATGTAAGAGAAATAAAAAAAGGCATCATATAACTATAAAATTTCTACCTTGCATAGATAGTGCATTAAAGTCATTTTGTTGTTTCTCGCACGGGTATCAGAAAGTTTAAGAAGACTATCCAATTTAAACCCCACAGCAGATCCTGCAATGTCGTCACCACAAAACAAAATAAAATAGAGAAATTATCCGATATACTAGACACCCCCACCCCACCCAAAAAAAAAAAAAAAAAAAAAAAAAAAAAGAATATGAAATCTAATCATAACAACTTTTACCTCGTGCAGTGCCCTGATTCAGTGCATTACCCAGGGTTAGAATGGTCTGCATTATTTGACGCAACTTCGCAGATTCTTTTACCTAACAAAACTTGAAACAGAGTTAGGATGAACTAGAAACATGTTTTAGCATTAACAATTCATAGTGCTAGTAATAGTACCTCTCTGGTAGCATCATTTATTGTATTCAAGTTATTTCTCAAGTCATTAACCTGAAAAGGTAATTTAATTGTTGCAATTAGCAGATCAAACAGATTAGACTTAGACCCTTAACCCATATTACAGAATTTATAGTTATTTGTATTTGATATAAAATGCCAAAACACATACCTGATTTGAAAAAGTAATTGTAAAAGCAAAAACTCTCAACTTGGATTCAACTCGAGGAACCTTCATGAGCTCCGAGAAAAACTGAGAATGACATACACAGTAAAATATTAATAATTACAGCATTTCTTTATTAACCACACCAAAGTTCACATAGAGGGAAAAAAAACCTGTTCACATTTGCCAAGCATTTCCTTGTTCCCAGTGTAGTTCTGAAAATTAAAGACAAATGAAGAGATGACAATTTAAGAATAACTATGAAAATTGCACACACACAAAATAAAGGAACGAACAAATATGATGATTGAGAGTTGAGACCCACAAATCCACAATATCTGTAGTTTCACTGAAGGACTAAAGAGTGACTAGTTAGGGTGAAGATGATCATGTAAAATTAAACTCTACATGCACGTGGACATGTATTGATATATAAATCAAGACAAAGAAATACTAAATATAGAACTACCCAGTTTGAGAATTTATTGGAAAACAGTTGAGGAGGTTGGTGGTGTAATTTTTGCAAATATCGATGCATGTATGTTTTAGAAAACAAACAATTTCACCAGTGCATAAATACACATGGAAGTGCAAAATAAGTTAGTTCAGGTTTTGTGAATCAATGCCCAAATGACTGTAACATGGTTTCTCCTCTGTTCATGGAGGGATCCAGATTATTTAAGAAAAAGAAAGCAACGGCCCTAACTTCAGGCACAGAACGTGCCCTTTTAAAAAATATGTAATGTAGTATCATATATTGAAACATTTTCTTGGATCAAAACAAGAAGCAAGCAGGAACACTGTTTTCAAACAAAAACACAAAACGTGACATTAACAGCACCAACCAAATAACTCTAGAACTTGAGTCTCCAGAAAGAAGAATGCAAAGCCATGAGAAAGAGAAAAGAATAGATACCCTCAAGGTCTCCATTTCTTCTTTTGTAGGACAGAACTTAATCAGATTTTCAACTTGATCAATATCCAGCGTTGAAGAATCCAAAGCCAAAATGGCATTCTGAAGATAACAGCATGGCATTTAAAATATCCTTTAAATGGAAAAAATAAATAAAAATTCAACAGTCAAATTGCAATGTGAACACTATTCAAACAATCAAACATTAAAGATCTCACAATAAACCCAGAAAATAACTTTAGATACTGGCATTATGCCATCAGCAACAATCAGTTATTTTTATTGCTTGTATATCATGCTTTACTCTTGCTTTTAATTGTCATTTCTTTGCAATTGACAATGCACCAGGCAAAGCATAATAAAAGAATTTAAGCCATGTAAAGATATCCAACAAATCAATATTAGTATATGAATTCCTGTCAATTGTTGATATGCTGCAATTTCACATAAATTAGAAAATTTTATTTTGGTTGCAATGAGTTTAAATTAAGTATTAAGTATATCTAAAAAGGCTATCAGATATAAAGAAATAATAGAGGACTTGAAAATGAACTCACAATCATATCAGGCAGAGGAATTTTAATTTTTGTAAGCATGATTTCACAATTGTAGGCCCTCCGATGTTCAACCTGAGAAAAGAAAAATGGGAAGTTATCACTGACCAGTCTAGTCACCAGCAGCCAATAAAATAACTGAAACTTTTCTCCTGACTGGCATAGAAGCCCTTGACATCAAATTCAAATAAGGGTGCGTTTGGAAACCCGGAAAATGATTTCTGAAAATCATTTTCCGGGTTTCCAGTGTTTGGCTAGAGGGGGAAAATGGAAGTCAATGGAAAATAAGGGTGTGGTCAATGGAAAATAAAGGGGATTTTCTTCCCCTTTTTTGGGGGGAAGTCATTTTCCGTTTGCAGCAGTGGAGCATCCAATCACCCGCCGCCGCCGCCACCACCACCACCACCATCATTGTATATTTTAAATATTTAAAATTAAAAATAATTATGCTCATTTTCCAGAAAATGAATCAAACACACCAAGACAGTTTTCTGGAATGCAACCAAACACTGGAAAGGAAAATGTTTTCTGGAAAATGACTCATTTTCCAGAAGTTATTTTCCTGCTTTCCAAACACACCCTAAGTGAAAACTGTTAGATTTTAAACACCACTCTCCCTTAGCCATTAGTTTAAGTTCTCTCCATCACATATTTGCACAGCACTCATTGATGCCAATAACTATTGTGTTTGTTGATTAATTCTATTTTCTTATATCAATACTGCTTCCAAAGCCACTGAACGTCTGAACCACACAAATCTTGACCAAAGGCTATACTTCCAGCTCCAACAAAACTAAAGAAGGCAGAGCTTTACTTCTGCCATCAAAAACTGCCTCTTATTATGGATATGATACCGTCTGATATGTGTCAGATGTTTGGCTACGCATCACTGGTCGGTGGTTAATAGAAGAAGAACAAGTTGGTTTCCCTATGGTGAAGGGAAGGCAGAATGAGAGAGAGAGAGAGAGAGAGAGAAGTTGGAGGAAGAAACTTCCCTTTTGATTTTATTCAAATTCCAACTCCCTAAGACAATCTAATGTTCTCCCTATATATAGGAGTTAAAGCTTAAGACATAAGGAAACAATATTCTAAAATATGCTTACTTAAAGTAAAAAGGGCAACTAAAAATAAACTAGGAAATAAGATAACTAAATTGATTCCCAATCAATTTTAGCATATTGGCAGCAGGATTTGTATCTTTGACTCCCGATTGTATCGAAGTGATTTTAGATCCTTAATAATCTTTAGACACAAGTGTAATCAATATCAACCAAAAAGACTAAAAGAGGAAAACTGCGACGGACGGGAAGAAATTAAAAAACATTATGTGCAAACCAACTAGAACTAATCTACAATCCTTATTTATTTTTTTTCATGAGCAATGCACATATACAAGTCAAATATCCTCATCATTGTCATAATAAACATTTTGGCTTATAAGTCTCATGTGTGGCTCTCTTATGTGCAACACTAGCTTGCCATCACTAATACAGATAGTGGCATATTTTGAAAATTTTCAAAAGTTCAGCTAAAAATTCACTTACCAATTGCACCTTTTCAGGTTTGTTAATTTTTGAACCACGCCGACCTCCGGCCTTGTTGATGCTATCTGTTGCAGAAGCTACTGAAAACAGAGTTTCAAGCTCTGTTATATCAATCTCAGGTGCCCTACCAAATAATTGTAGAGTCTGATCAGAATTTTGCTGTGACAAAAGGGGAAATTCCCAAGAATTATGTGAAAATAGTAGGCTAAGGTTTCAGCACTATCTATAGAATTACTGAATTAGTCTACTAAACAGTCTAAACTTATTACATATGAGAACTGTGAAAAAAGTAGCCAGTCTCCAGAACTCACACTTGCATTATATTTCAATCACCATGTTGGGTGATTTTGATAAAAAAACTCCTCTAAGTTTTAACCTCCCTAATTTCTAACTTTCCATACTAAATTTAATTTTGCATACCTTGATTGGCTTTCCTGTTTTTGAGTATCAGCCCACAGACTTCCTTGCATTGCTCTTGTAACTTTGACCCAGTGCAAAGGCTTCAATGATGCTTTTTTGGGAGGAATAGTAGAACCACCTGTAGGTCGACTTTTTCCATGAGTAGTTGATCCTAAAGAGCTTCTTCCCCTACCAGTAGATGGAAGTGGTGGAGGTGGCACACTAGAGCCCCTCCCACCAGGAGGTGGAGGTGGAACTGGTGTCGAACCCCTCCCTGGAGGTGGTGGTGGTGGTGGGGCACCAGGAAGTTTTGGTGGTGGTGGAGGAGCCGAGGGGTTTGAACCTTGACGAGGACCTCCTGAAGGAGGTGGAGGTGGTGCTGGCGGCAATGGAGTCGACTTAGGAGGGGGCGGAGGAGGTGGAGGCCCCTTAGAAGAGATAGGTGGGGGAGGAGGAGGAGGAGGGCCCTTTGAAGAGACAGGAGGGGGAGGGGGAGGTGGAGGCGGCAGAGTGCCCTTTGAAGAAACAGGAGGGGGAGGTGGAGGTGGAGGCGGCAGAGTGCCCTTTGAAGAAACAGGAGGGGGAGGTGGAGGTGGAGGTGGAGGCGGCAGAGTGCCCTTTGAAGAGACAAGTGGGGGAGGTGGAGGTGGAGGCGGCAAAGGGCCCTTAGAAGAGACAGGAGGAGGAGGGGGAGGGGGCGGTGGAGGTGGTAGAGGGCCTTTCAAAGGTACAGGAGGAGGTGGAGGTGGGGATGGAGGCTGTTTAGAAGAAATGGAAGGTGGAGGTGGGGATGGAGGCTGTTTAGAAGAAATGGAAGGTGGAGGTGGTGGGGGAGGGGGAGCTGAAGTGCAACATTTAGAAGATATAGAAGGGGGTAGAGGAGGAGGAGGCGGAGGGGTAGGGAAACTTGTAGTAGAAAGCATGGGGACTGGAGGAGGAGGGGAAGCTGATGAAGGTGGTAGTGGTGGAGGTGGTGGAGGTAGTGGAGGTCCTTTAACAGAGTTTATAGATGAAGGTACAGGAGGTTGAGTTACTGGTATAGTTCCTTGGATTGAAGTATAAGAAGGTGGGGGTGGTGGGGGTGGTGGGGTGGAGGTGCTTTACTGTAATTAATATGATTAGGGGGTATTGGTGGTGAGAATGAGAGTTCTTTACTAGGAAAACCAAAAAGAGGCGGAGGAGGTGGTGGTGGTGGTGGTGCCAATGGTCGAGGTGTAATTGTATTAGAAACGGAGGGAGGTGGTGAAGCAAAAGGAGGAGAACAAGATTGCCTATCATGGTCTTGCCCTACTTCCAATTGATCAGAAGTCATGCTCAAATCAGATTGATTATTACTTTCAGGATGTGAACAAAAAGGTTCAGTAGAAACCTCTGTAGGATCCTCAGAAGTTTTGGCCATTGAGGTTGCATCTGAAGCAAAATCTTCAGAAAAAGGATCATCTATGAAATTCACATCAGGTGAATTAGCATACGTAAGATTACTAGCCTTCTCTGAGTCCAGAAAATCCAAGCTATCAGCAATACTATGTGCAGTGGTTTCCTCCTCAGAATCAAAAGGTGATGAGTATTCACTCATCCTACTTTGTAGCAACGATAAATCTTTCACATCATTCAATACTGAGAGCTGTTTAAGAAACCATAAAGCAGCATCATCACTTGGATCAACCCATTCCACTCCACCAAAAAGTTCTTGGACCATTGAAAAGGCTTCAATAGGAAGTCCGCCTTTCTCCTCTAAATTTAAAACAGAAGTTGGAGCTCTTGGAGGAGGGATGCTCTCCACATCACCAAACAAAACCTGTACATAAATATATGATATATCACCTTAGATGTGAAATATAGGAAAGATAATTTACTGGTTAGATTACTCAAGTAGCAACCAGATAACAATGACAATATGATATGAAGCCACCTCAGCTCGAAAGCCTTTTGGATAGCGCCCCTTTGAATCCCAAAGAATGTCCAAGTTATCACTGCTTAGCATCAAAATGTTGGATCGAATAAAAGCTGTGTTGAACATTATACGAAACATCATGACTTCTCTTTCTGGATCCAGGTCTAAATGAACACACTCCAGAACAACATCCCCTTGCACTAAACACTGAATGTCAATCTTGATCACATCACTGTCCTTCTGCAAGATCATAGAACATCAGTGTTGGGACCCTGCAAAGTACAAAATGAATGGAGCATACTTCAGCTAAAGTAATTTATACCTGACGGTAATGTCGAACACCTCTGCCTTTCTTGGGCATAGAGTATAACATCTGAGTTGAGAGTCCATCCTTGCTAAGTAGATTTCGACCAAAAATACGAACAATAGGCCTACACCCTTTTTGACTATCAAATCTTGGAATAGCTCGAAGAATGAGACAATCCAAAGAAAGAGCCCGCTCAGGAGGAGGCCACTCAGGGGAGATATTTCTTCTAGATAGATATTGCAAGTAGCGAAGCTGAGATGGAAATGGGTTCAATGGTGATAGCAACTGTAATAAGCCTTTAGGGGCCTCTCGATAAACCATTTCAAGAGTCTTTCGCTCTCCACTATGCAATTTTTTAAAAACCAGGAAACTAGCCAAAACAAATGCTAAAACGGGCCAACCCCCTCTCTCACAATGAAGTAAAATAACATTATGATGATTCCCAAGATTAAGCCAATTCTCACAACCACGAAGAAAATGATGGATCAAAGACAATGGCAACAGAGGACAACCCTCATATTGTTTTGGATAATCCATAACAGTAACATCATATTCACATAAAATTTCAGCAAACTGACTCCTTTTCTCACCATCTCTAAAATTGAATGCAAGAAAAGATGATTCAGGGAACTCTTCATGCAGCTCAGTAATTATCTCATGCAAATACAGTTGATAAATTTCCTCAGGTAATACTTCAGTGGAAAAGCAAGAATCTAAAACTGCAGAAACACAGCATCAAGGAATTAATTAAATGTCCACATTCAGGTAAATACATAAAAACAAAGTGCATAAGAAAAGTAAGAACTGTAACATAAGATTAATTTACCATATACTCTGTCATCAAGTTCAAGCAAGCCATCCGGGGGTCTTCTGTAGAAAAATCTACTTAGCAGGGACATCACTATTTAACAGAAAATACTTCCAATTATATACGCAACAGATCTACAAACCTGCAAAATATAACAGAGCAAAATGAAAACAAAAAGGACTAGAAGTAATCTAATTACTATTAGAAACCTTTCAATTTAGATTGCATTAAAATTGAAAAACTTCAGAATTAACAAGAAACAAGTATAATTACAGAAATGAAGCTCGGAGAGCTAAATTTTAATTCAAAGTGCCACTCAGAAATTACTTGAACAATCGCGACGAAAATAAACTTGAATTTCTCCACAGCAACAGAAATATTGACAAATATAAATTTAAGACAGGGGAATCTAAATTTCCAGCTGAAAGCTCGGACCTTTATTGGAATTTTCGTTTTTTTTTTTGTTCCAACGGAATTGCTAAAACAGAAGTAAAATCGAAATAATTCTTTTGAACATTCCAATGTTCTCAGCAACAAATAACGGGTTAAATAAAAACCAAACCCATTAATCCAAGCAACTGTCTAAACCGAATATTTAGCAGAAACAAAGAGACAACAACGATTAATCAATGATATATATACCTAATACAGAAATTTAAACTGAAAACGTACCGGCAGGGAGAAGAGCCTCGAGCACAGAACCTGAGCGTAGATTAGATTTGAAAAAGAGAACGAGTTTTTTTTTTTTTTTTGAACGAGTTGAGTAGTAGTTGTAGCAGTGGTGTATGCGTTTGAGGAGAGTCACACTCACGTATGGGATTTTTGAACACGCCGGAATTTCAAAATATGTGAACGGACAGAAAATTATTTGATACCCATTTTCTTTTTTCTCTTTTTCCTTTTTTTTTTCGTAATTACGATTACGATCCAAAGAATGCCTAGTATATAGATTGATGATCGTTGATTGCGGTTTGATTCCGATTTAGAACAGTCAATTCATTCTTCTATGTTTCAAGGAATTGAAACTATAGCATTTTATTTATGAAAGGTTTAGTTCTGATTTAAATTTTTAATTCTTATAGTTTTTTTGTACTTTTCAATTTCTATTTTTGAAATTATTCAAATTAAGCTTTTCAAGTGTTGGGATGGCAATGTGCCCCGTCTCCGTTGGACATCCCCGCCCCTGTAGGGGATAGGGACGAGGAAGGGGAAAATTTTCGGGGATCGGGAACGGGAATGGGAAATTTCACAAACTCCCCGGCGGGGACGGGGACAGGGACGGGGATACGGCTCCCCGTCCCGCCCCGTCCCCGAAAATAAAAAATAAATAAATAAATAAATAATATATATAGAATATTATTTTAGGATTAGGAAATAGAATATTTGAATGTGTATACATTGGAATAATACGTCTACTGTACTACTGTATATATAACAACAATAAGTCAATATAATTCATAATGTTTGAATGTTAAACTATTTTTAGTATATATTTGCTCTTTCGGATTGGAATTTGAACTTTATTAGTTCGTATGTTATTAAAAAAAGTTGAATTTTAATTGTCATTTCAATTTTTTTCTTTTTATTTCTACTAGTTTCACACTTTGACTATGAGTTGACCGGGGATGGGGATTCCCCGTCCCCGCCAAATTTCCCGCGGGGACGGGAATGTGGAATTTTTTCAAGTCCCCGCCGAGGACGGGGACGGGGACGGGGATGGGGATGGGGTCGGGGTAGCGGGGACGGGGAGGGGAGTATACTCCCCACCCCCGCCCCGCCTCGTTGCCATCCCTATAATCAAGTGGTTTTAAATTCTGTCAATGATCTTGTGATCGAGTGGCATAAAGTGACCCTCCCAAATGGACATTATGGGTTTGAGCCTCATTGTGAGAATAAAATATACTTTAAGTTCAGACTAGAGCAATGGCGGAGTCACATGTGTGCTCCAGGGGGCCTTGCCCCCCGCCCCCCCCCCCCCCCCCCCCCCTCCCCAAAATTTTCTTCTTTTTTTATTAGTATAGAGCAACAAGGGGGCCTTGGCCTCCAAAAAATATATATATTAATATATAATAATTATTTTGTGGCTTCTCTCATCAAAATATTTTCTCCATTCAAAAAAATTTCTAGAGTACAATTATTATTGTGTGGACCATATTTTGTATAGTGTAAAATAATGTAAATTCAGTACAAAAATAATGTACATTTAGTATATTAAAAATGTATTTTCTGTTATGGTCCACATAACACTGTGTGGACCATGGCCCACACAATAATTTACTTCTAGAGTATGCTTTATATTCAAACTATCCAAACCAAACAGGCAGACAACAGATACACATATAATTTCTATTCAATTTCAAAGCTGAAGTCTATAGGTAATTTTTCATTTTTTTTTATTCTTTAAAGCTTTAGATATTTTAAATGAACTATTCTTTATTGGAGATGGATTCATCAATCCTCACCACATCAAAAAGTTTAGATGTTGTAATTAAATGGTAGTTAAATTCTCTCTTTTGTTTTCTCAGTTGATGATGTCAATTGCGGTGAACTCAGGCTACGAGCAGCGACGACTGGATCCTCTCTTTTGTGATTGGCCCCCCGCACCCATAAATCCTGGCTCCGCCCCTGGACTAGAGATGACAATTTAAATTCGCAAAGCGAATATCTACAAATTAACCCTCGCGGTCATACTTTTTTTGGATGGTGTGTCTTAAAAAAGTAAACTCACAATTTTATATACAAAAACGCGCTTCAATCTATGTGTGATCCTTCAGTTATGATGTTGCGTGATCATTCCCAGCATATTCCCCTTCAATTTTGATGTGAATTCCATCATATTCCATAATTCAATTCAATTTGATGGTCTTTTGTAGGTAAACACTATTTTGCATGGATGGGTCCAATGTGTATGGTGTTCATAAGGGATCCTGAGCTAATCAAATGAGGTTTTGAACAATGTGTACTGAAAGAGAGAATAATGTGTACTAGAATAAGATACAATGTGCACTACAAGAAGGAACGATGTGCACTGAAAGAAAGAACAATATACACTTTAACATTTACTGCATCTTTGACCACTGATCAAACAAAGTGCACGACTGGAAATAGTGCACAAATGCACATGATAGTGAAAATACACATCTGAACAGTTATATATATATATATATATATATATATATATATATATATATATATATATATATATATAGAGAGAGAGAGAGAGAGAGAGAGGAATATATTATATGTATTGCATATCTTGCATAAACTATAATGATTAAAGAATAATATTTGGAGTTGGATTACAATACCAGTTTCTAATGTAATCAAATTAAATTATATTTCGATGGATGTTTGGTTCCTGTGTGGCTGTGTCCAAGATGAACATTGGTTATTCGATAGAAAGGGTGACAATGTAGGGGGAACAATGTGCATTCGAAGGGAGAATAATGTGCGTTGGAAGCTAGGGGTGTCAATGTGCACTGAAAGAATGAAACTATACACTCGAAGAAGAAGAAAATGTGCACTCGAAGAAGGAAAAATGTGCACTTAAAGAAAATAAAATGTGCGCTCGAAAAAAAAAGAAGTACATTTACTAACATAAATTTACCAAACAACCCCTGTATTTTGTCTTTTTCAAATTTCACTAATTATGGGCAGTTGATATGAATTTAATCAATTGTTGAGATCTCACTATATTTTTTACACGAGGAAGTCATCGCATTTTATCCGTGTATATATATATATATATATATATATATATATATATATATATATATATATATATATATATAAATATATATATATGTGTGTGTGTGTGTGTGTGTGTGTGTGTTAATTTATAAATGTAATTACCTTAATTATAAATCTAGCAATATAAATTATTAATAGGGAAATTATATTATAGAATTAGCCTAAATACATTTTTTTTTTAAGGAAGAGGGATACGCACGTATAATAAAATGTTTCTATAATGACCTCCACCGAGACTTGACCCACCACCTTTCACATAGAATTAGCCTAAATACATTAATAAATATTATGTGCATATTCATTTTACTATATTTTTTTTTTTGAAAACCACATAACTCAAATTCATTAAAACAAATGTTCAATACAACGCGGTAAAGAAATAGACCAAATCATAGGATCAGGTTGCGAACGTGCCGCTCTAGCCAAAGCATGAGCCGCCATATTCACTGATCTCGAAACATACTGAATAGACACTATATCAAAGTGTCGTTGAAGATCTCGGCATTCACTTAGGATACAGCCGGCGTAGGTATAGTCTGGTAAAGAGCCATTGAGCAACTTACATATCATCTGGCAATCAGAGTGTACTCTAGCTTTTAAAATACCTCTCTCCTTAGCCCAAGAGAGAGCTTCCTTGATAGCTATGGCCTCAGCTAAATGAACATCATCCATGCATTGTACCTGGCCATTCTTCGCTGCGACAAAGTTACCATTTGCTTGTGTAATCACCACACCGTAGCTAGCTTCATGTGTGGCTGTAAAAACCGCTGCATCGACATATAGCATAAACATATCAGCCGACACCGTGTTTGATGCAGAAGTATTTTCCAGCCTTGCGCCACCACCTTTCAAAGCTTCCATTCTCTCCTGCCATTCATGTACAAGACGTGCTACTTCCAACTTGATGTGTGCTGGCTGCCAAGATTTATTGTTCCAAACAATCTCATTGCGACTCCGCCATATACACCACCATAGAGCAATACAATTAAGGTTGGAGGCATTATCAGAGAGTGCAATATTACCAGCCATCCAAGCCGCAAAGTCTGTAATAGTACCTGGCAAATTGCACTGCATTATATCCTGCCACAAAGGAATCACGAGCCCACATTCGCAGAACAGATGCATAAGTGATTCATTGGACTGCCTACACAACGGGCAAGACATATCAGCTTCAATACCTCGACTCCTCAACGCCACCATTGTAGGAATGACACCATGCAAACAGCGCCATAAAAAGTTTTGAACACTAGGTGGTATTTTTAGTTTCCATAATCGACGCCATGCTTCACGAGTTTCCATTGCAATTGTGCTAACGTCGGTCTGGAGTCTGTACCCCAGTTTTACAGAGTAAACACCCCGTATGTCACCCCTCCAACACCAAGAATCTTCAAAATGATCAGCAACTGGAATTTTCAGGATGAGCTCCGCATCTCTTTGATCAAAGGTATCATGAATCAACTGTCTGTTCCAGTCGTGTGTTGTGGTGTCAATCAACGTGTTCACAGTTCTATCCTCATCATCAGGTGAACACGTGGTATGAATATAAGGGTCCTCTATACTTGGTAACCACGGATGATTCCACACACTAGTAGTCGCTCCATTTCCCACGCGACGAACACAACCTTGCTTTAACAAACCTTGACCTGCAAGTACAGACCTCCAGCAGTAAGAGGGGTTGGCTCCAATTTTCGCTGAAAGGAAATCTGAATGCGGGAAATAGCGAGCTTTATACAATTTTGCAGCCAAAGAGTGTGGATTAGTCAAAAGTCTCCAACCTTGTTTTGCTAGGAGTGCTACGTTAAATTTGCTCAAATTTTTGAAGCCAAGACCACCATCCATTTTTGGGGCACAAAGTCTGCTCCACGCCATCCATCTTACTCCCCCACCACTGTTGTTGTTGCTTACCCACCAAAACTTGTTCATAAGGCGTTCTATTCTTTCACAAAACGTGACTGGAAGGTAATAAATACTCATCGAGTATGTGGGTAAAGCTTGGGCAATGCTCTTTAGTAAGATCTCCTTGCCAGCTCTGGATAGCACTTTCTTTTTCCATCCACTCAGCCGGTGCAGTAATTTTGTCTCCAGATAACTGAACACTTCCTTCTTA